CTGGGACTCTTGGGGGTCCATAGGAATGTCTTCAATATCTAGATTCGTCCCCATATCCTGTTTGGTAATAGGCACCAAACATCACCACCTCGATACCTCGTCTGGTATGAGGTGAACCATATTACTCAAACCCATTCGTTATGGGATTTCTCAGTCTCGTCCGACTGAGGTAATGTCTACAGTAGGGTTTTTTATGTACCGGGTTCATCTGCCCTTTCTCAGGGTACCCAGTAAGCTTCTATATATGTAGATTCTTATTATCCCAACAACCACCAAAGCATACCAACATCTCATTCCATATTCACTGATCAATTTAAACAACATGTAAGCAAACGATATAGTTTATTATAACTAACAATCGGATAACTAAATAACCAAATAAACAATGCAAGAGGAACCAAATAAACCAGATAATCGAGAAAACCATAACAACTATCAATATAAACATGCACAATATGATAGTAAGCAATTTAGGCAGTACAGGAAAATAAACAGGGAGAGCAGGACAAATATGAACTAATCGGTTCCGGCTCCACTAGTGACCTGTAATATTTTTAGGGTTTTTCCTATTTTTTTATAAACATACAATTATCGGTTATTAATCCTCAAATTATCGGTTATTAATCCTCAAATTATCGGTTATTAATCCTCAATTTACCGTAATAGAGAATAGGGTGAGAGATTCTTACTTGGATCGGTGTTTCAAAACGCTGTGCTATCTACTACGCTTTCTAACGGGTCTCGAGTTTCTTGAATTTTTCTTATGAGAATCAAAATACTCGTCACGTACCTAAAAATACCAAAAAATCCAAAATCAGTGTTAAAAACTCTCTTCGGCCAATTTTACGGTTCTGGTATGGCGGTGTTGCCGTGCTCCAATGCTGACTCTGCCGTCCACGGTGACAGTTAGCATCGTATCCCTACAAAAAAATACGTTAGGGAGTCTCGGTTGGCTGAAAATTCAAAAAACCAAAACTTTCCAGGGCGGGGTCTCCAGGTGTGGCGGCTCCGCCGGTCCTTCTATGCGGCTGGGGTTTCTCCTTCGGTTAACTTGCACAGAAAAAGACGGTAATCTCGTTCGTCCGATCCCATCTAAAGAGGGAATGCATCCGAGCCATTCATGCGCGTAGGATTGAATCTGGGTCGTTGGATCCTTGGGCATGCAGATCGCCCGCGTGGCGCCGACATTTGCGTGTTTTACCACGTGGCATGCTTTGGTTCGCCATGGCGGCTGACTGGACCACCCATGTGGCCAAATTTTTTCTTTTATCATTTTGATCCCTTGTTTCCAATTTTTCTTTTAAAAACACCTCCCGAATTTAAAATTTCACCCATCTTTTCCAAAATTGCTTTCAATTTCATGTATAATTTATTTTTCTCAAATAATTCAATAAAAATAAATTAAAATAATTTTTTTAATTATATATATATTTTATAAATAAGAAAAATTATCTCAAACCAAATTCCGGACCCGGGTATTACAACACCAACTTGCCCTTGTCCTCCTCTGCCAGTCATTAGTGAGAAAAATTTTTTTGACAATAGTTCAATGAGGCTCGAGGATCTGCACTACCATTATAATGGGGATAATGTCGTTTAGCAATGTGCAAGATTGTGCTTACCCTTTCAAATTGCTTGTGGGATTATGAGGTTGGTTATCCCATGGCGCTAGTAGCTACGAATTTAGAATGCTGCAAAATCCTTCAATCATGAGCCTATGATTTCTCGAGAGATAGCCTTGATTTACATGACTAGTTGTTGGCAATCTTCTTTGTATATTTGGAGGAAAGTGTCAAACTTAAGTTGAGAAGGCCAAGAATCCTCATATAAACTCTTGCTCTGATATCACATTGTTAAGGTTTTGTGTCTGGGATTGGGTCATAGCTCAAGTTAAAGAGAAGTCTTATAGTAGGTTTGAAGGTTATTTGCCTTGTTGGCCTATGTTTGAGGCTTGTTGGAGAACTAGAGATGAGCACAGGACATGTATGTGTAGGGTTGTCCATCCCCCATACCCGACCCTATATGACAAATATAAATCCATGTCTGTCCCATGTCCAAAGTGAGTAAAAATTTATTTACCTGCAACCCATCTCACAGGTAAACTTCATACCTATCATTTGCTTCATTTATCCATTTTTTAATTTAAAAAAAATCTTATAAATAAATTTAAAATTTAATTAAGATATCTTAAATATTAATCAAAATAAAATATAATTTAAAATAATATTTAACATAATTTATTTAACAAGAAATATAAAATAATATTATAAATATAACATTAAAAACTAATTAATTGGAATTTAATTAGTTTGGGTAGAATTAAAAATAAAAATAAAAATACAATTTTATTAATTATGTATATAACAAGGCAGAGTGGGGCGAATGCAATTTGGTATATCATTAAATCTATTTTTCCTGCTATTCGCTTCATTTACCCATTTTTTAATTTAAAAAATCTTATAATAAATTTAAAATTTAATTAAAATTTTTTAAATATTAATCAAAACAAAAGATAATTTGAAATACTATTTAACATAATTTACTTAACAAGAAATATAAAATGACATTATAAATATATAACATTAAAAACATATTCATCGAAATTTAATTAATTTGGGTTTATTTAAAAAAAAAATTAATGTGGGTAGAATTAAAAATAAAAATAAAAATTTATTAATTATGTATATAGCAGGGCGGAGCGAGGCGGATGCAATGTGGTATATCATTAAATCTATACTTGTTCCCTACCTATTTTGGGATTATAACTTTCTACCTATACCTGCCTCTATGTCTATCTCTATGCCCATATATATGGAGAACCTCGGGTCTTCGAAGAATCTTCAAATTTTTGAATGAATGTCAGATGATTTTATTGAAGAACCATGCATGGATAGGCCTTCAACGTAATATTTAGGATGAAGGTGAAAATAATAAAATTTCCCATATGGAAAAGGAAATAAATAAATAAAAGAGGAATCATTCGGGAAATTCTTTTTTACATTTAACTAATTAGGTGATGCATACCAATAATGGAAAATAACGTTTTAATCTTGGTTCCTAATAAATTTTGTCTAATTCTATTTGTCCTACGTCATTTGGATCCTAGAGAGAATAGGAATCAGTGCTAGACCTGATTCTTTTCCTATTTTGCTAAAAACTTGCCTTACTTTTGTTCCTGGAGAGAATAGGAATCAGTAGCCGGATTTGATTTTTTCCTATTTTGCTGAAAACTTACCCTGCTCTTGTTTTATCCTTGCCATGCATTCCTCTCAGATTAACCAAATTGGTAGACTGGTCTTCATTGGCAGCCATAACAAAAGTGCTATTATTTGTTATATGTCTGAAGAATTGTCGGAGTATTTGGGAAATCCTATGCACAGACTGCAGGAAAACATTTCTCTGATAGTCCTAATAGTTTATCAAGATTTTGTTGTTATACATCAGTACTTATCTGATTGTCAATTTTTGTTTTCTCTCTTTATAGCACTGAACTGGCCAAGGCTTACCAAACTGTTAACATTCTGTCTGCCGTTTTGAAGGCTGTTAATTTGAAACAATTTACTGAAGTTGATCCTGAGGTGAGTCTTTGGAACATTTGTTCATGTGAGGGAGAATTATAAGGCAGTTATCCTGGTTCATGTCTTCTCTCTTGGGGATAGCATGCAATCAAAGTTTGTTTTACTTTCAAAATTTGAAAATGCTTTTTGTTAATCATTATTCTTTTTTTTTTTGTGCAGATTTTTGAAGCTCAAAATAAGGTCACAGAGATCACAAGGAATGGTGCTCTTTACAATATTATCCCTCTTGGTCCTGAGAATATTGATGAAGCAATGTCAAAATATCCCGAGGTTGCAAATTTCCTTATTGTCAACGTACTTTTTAATTTCTTTTCTTGTCTTATTAACATTCTTCCGGTATTATTAATCTCTTCCTTTTTTCTTAATTGAAGATCCAAGCAGCTGTTTTTGCCCTTCGTAACACCCGAGGTCTTCCATGGCCCAGGTATCACAAGAACAAAAAAGATGACGATATTCTAGATTGGATTCAGCAAACATTTGGGTTCAAGGTATTGTTAGTTTAAACAAAATTGTATTTCTCTATGTAGCTTTGGTCTTCAAAAACAGCAATTTACTCCCAGACAACATTTCTTTTTCTGATACTCTTACTAAATTTGATTTCTCAGAAGTCTAACGTGGAAAACCAAAGAGGACATCTGATTTTATTACTTGCAAAAATGAACGAGTGAATAAACAGAATCTTGATCAACAACACAAGGTTTGGTCTGTTACTGCATACTTATTCATATGTTATACTGAAAGAGTAAATATCTTATATTACCGGCTAATGCTAGCTGTATGGATCATACCACTCTAGCAACAAATATAATATCACGACACAAGCATCTCGGATCTACAATGGATTGGGATATTTTA